TCCCTTGGTAGATTTTATTGCCTTATGAAAATTTTAAGTAAATTATAGCTCTAAAAATGTTCAGACATGGGTAAATTATTATGTATGTTAATTGACTTGATCATTTCTTCTTGAAAAGGTATTTCCTAAATACTTGTAGAAAATAATTTAGAGAATATGATACCAGTGTCTAGCCTTTAGTGGTTGCTATATAGGCTACAGAGAATCATGAAAACAATTATGTACAAAACTACAAATAATTGCTTGCAACATGTAAAATTTTACATTATTTACATCTTCTATAAAAAAAGTATTAATCACATAATACTTGTCTTTTACCACAGTGTGTTGGGGGCGGGGGGGCTGAAAAGCCTAGATAAATAGAGTTAGAATCCCTAAGATCGCAAGAGAGAATGAGTCGATGACCAGTTGGGTTAGATCACTTCCTCACAGAATTATAGATGATCATTTTAGCTATTTTTAGCTATATTTTTTTCTTTATTTTATTAATAAAATAGTACCTCCATCCCGCAAAGAAGTTCTCACTTTCCTTTTATGGATGTCCCAAAAAAGAAGTTCTCATTTCCATAAAAGGAAATCGCTTTTATCCCAAAAGTCACAATTACCCTTACTTTTTATCCACTTTTTGATTGATTTTACATAAAGTTAGGGTAAACTTGAAAAGTCAAAACAACACTCTACCTTACACAAGTATGTGTGTAGGTCAAATCGAGAACTTCATTGTGGGACAGAGGAAGTATATTTTAATTTTTTTTCTTAAATCAACAAAATGAACCAACACGGTCACTTCAATCAGAACTTCACAAATTTCAGCAGAATCAATTAAATCAACCGATTTTCGTGCTACAAAACGGGCTCTAAAAATATTTCCCAAAAATAGTGCTATGAAAAGCCAAAAGGGGGAAGCACTTAAAAAGGATTATGATAATCCGTAATTTTGTTTGTGCGAACATTACAAATTAAAAGGAAATTACAAGTACACTGCTTTTGCAAATCCATTACCCGAACATGTTTGATTGTTTTCTTACAGTGCAGGGAGTAGCTTTTTCTAAAGAGACGTAAAACCTAGCTAGTTAAGCATCTGGAGTGAGTAGGACGGCGGTGGAGATGAGTAGCGGCGCCCCATTCCTTCTAATAGAAATCATCTCCGACATTCTCAAGCGCCTTCCGGTGAAATTCCTAATCCGATTCCAAAGTGTGTGCAAGCTCTGGAAGAATCTCATCAAGAGCCCATCTTTCATCGCCAGCCACCTCGACCACTCCGGCCGAGAATATCCCTCTTTTATTTCCAGGTGTGGGCACACCGTCTCCGGTATCTCGTTTCACTCTTTTCTCGACCGGGACATGCAACTCCGCCGAGTTCAGAACCATACTTTATTCGATTCAATCAAGTACCCTAGGATCGTCGGCTCCTGCAACGGCTTGCTCTGTGTTCAAGATAAGACGCCTGGTTCTTTCATGTCTCCTCTTTACTTGTGCAATCCTGCGATCTCTGAGGTTATACAGGTGCCTAGAAGCAGACCAAGCATGGATCTATGTTATCTTTCTAGTGTAGGCTTTGCATTCAGTCCAACTATTAATGACTACAAAATTGTCATACCCTATGTGAAGCAGAGTGATATGGAATTTGGATTTGAAGCTTATTCAGTAACCACAAATTCATGGAAGAATATAGGAATGGGCAGCTTTAAGGGCATACGTCATTGCACTGATGGCATTACTTTGAATGGGTCTATGTTTTGGATTGCATCACAGAGAGGTTTGGCAATTCATGAAAGAGAATATAATGCCATACTTTCGTTGGATTTAGCAATGGACGAGTTAAGATTGATACTGCTGCCTCCTTCATCTTCGAAGGATATTCCGATCTTGACGGTGTATGAGAACAGGCTTGCCGCATTTCAAACCTCTCTTACTATAAACCCAAGAAATTGTTTGATCGAATTGTGGGTGATTGAGGAAGGCATTGGTATTTCTTGGAGCAAAATATTGAGTTGTGGCCCTTATCCACACATTGTAGCACCGTTGACCATTTGGAGGAACCAGATTGTCTACGATGTTTTTCCTGAATATTCAGTAGAGGGGGACGATGAGAATGATGCTGCTGGTAGTTTTATGTTTGATCCCACTTCCAATGAGGTCAAGGTCCTTTGTTCGGGCAGACATGGCACTCTTGGTGCTGTGTTTCCATATGTTGAAAGCCTTGTACCCATTAGCAACATCCACACTAGAAGTCATTGATTTCAAAGCGTAGTCGTTGTTTAATTGTTATAATGCATTGCAGATTTACTGATTGTATTGGCTCTTTGTAGACAATGATTACTTAATTGTATTTTCCTAGTTGTAGAACATTTAAAACGCCTCTTAGAGACTCGAACGCATTTTATCCTACAAGCTATTTGTTACCTTTATGGGATTACATTTGCACATTTTACATTCGTATGTTATTTATTAGTCTATGTAAATGTATTGTTTCCCGGTTTAGGTTCTAGCAACTTTTTTGGAACAATATAATTTGTATTGTTTCTTTTAATCTCTCGCCAAACCTAGAGTTCGAATTTTAGAATTACACATGTTCTTCCATTTAAAATCATTCAGAAACTATGTAATATACTATCGTACTAGTATTCTCACTCTGTTGTGTTGCATGGGATAATCAGTTCTAGATTTTTCGAAATTAAATAAATCTTCAATCCCTTTCGAACTTGAGTTTACACTTCATATACTCTATACATCATAAAAATAGTACTCCCTCCGTCCCTAAATGTTGTTCCAATTGCGGATTACGAAGGTTGACCGATGATAAAGTTAAATGATCCCTGTAAAAATTCAGATTATTTTTAGTAAATAAAATTTACATATTCAGAAACTACATTAAACCCACTACAAAGCCTGCAAAAAATAATTCAACTTTTATAAAATTTTGATATAAAAAGTAAGAGTTTAATAGTGATTTAAGTTGACCCTCGATAAGCGAAATGGAACTTCTTTTAGGGATGGAGGGAGTATAAGAATCTTGTTTATATGTCTAATTCCAAGTATTTTTATTTGGCAAGTTTGTTATAATATACGTAGTATAATTTTGTAAAATCTTATGATTTACGATTCCGTTAAAAAACCTTTGCTGATTTGATTTTCTTTAGGCAAAATTCATTGTTGATTTGATTAAAAACACAACTTTAACAGTGTCTACGAAACCTTTACTGATTCGATTAAAAACACGACTGTAACAGTGTCTACGATAGGGCTGAGCACGAATCTGGAAATTCCCGTTCCGTACCAAAGAATCGTCCTGAACCGTTCCAGAACTGATAGAACCGGAAAAATGTAAAACCGTACCGTACCATACCGAGCTTTTTAATAATATGGTACGGTACCGGTTCTTAGTGAGAACCGTTCAGGAACCATCCCGGAACCGTATTGTCCCGAATTGTCCCGTCTAAACTAAAAAAGGATATAGCCTATTTTCACAAACAGAACTTAAAATAAAAAAAAAGTGATTTTTGTTCTTTATTGGGATGTTTAAAATATTACCATATATAACACAAAATTTCCCCCCGATTCTTTGCAGTCGAAAAACTAGTGTTAGATTATAATAATATACTACCTCCGTTCTCTTTTAATTGCAACATTGGACTTTTTGCACTATTCACATATTCTACTTTGACTACATTTTTTATTAATGTATTATAAAATAAATTTTTAAAAAATATTGTTAAATTCTTCTCATTGTAAATTTTCAAATTATGAATTTTTTAATTTTTTTACTAATAAAAAATGAAAAATATTGATGGTCAAACTTGTGCGTTGGCAAACGTGAAATGTTGACTGTTGCAATTAAAAAAGAACGGAGGAAGTATGTGACATGCACTTTGTCGTGGTGTGCACTCAAAATAATTAATCAATACAACACTAATACGTAGTATAGTGTAGTAAAGTTCGTATCCACAGGGAAAGGAACACTTCTCTTTTTATAGAAATAAATAAGTAATAACAGGGGTTTTTTATGTTTGGTTGATGAATTTTAAATTATATTTAAGCACGAAGATGAACGAGTTATGTGGTTTAATTAATGAGAAGGAGACTTGGTTTTGCATTTATCCACTGTATGAAATGTTCGTCGATCCCAGTTATATCTTTAACTATCTTCCTCTCGAATACTCAATCGAAGAGTATATCCAATTCATCGAGGGTAGTTATTAATAACGAGACGCGTTCATTAATAAAACTTACTACCGAGTTAATATAGAACAAGCGCCGTATATTCACTCGATAGTAGCAATAAAATCAAGATGAAAACGATTGAGATTGATAACCTCAACACAAGCGGTTTATTGGTTTAATCAATATAATTAATTCCCCTTAGTTTATTAACCATGAAACGCATGCATTAATAACCCAAGTTTACTACCGCGAAAAGACCGAATTAATAACAAGCGTATTAATCGACCGATTCTAGTAATAATTAATATATGAAACAAAACTAGTTGATCCTTTAAGTAAAATTCAAAATATTAATATGAAATATGAATAGGAATTAATTAACACTCAAGGAAGAATATTAAAGAAGCTGAATCCTACTATAGTTAATGTCAAGATGTTAACTAATTGTCATCTTAGTAACACTCCCCAATATTAACACAAAGGAAGAAATAGCTATTACTATAACTAATGTCAAGATGTTAACTAATTGTCATCTTAGTAACACTCCCCAACATTGATATAGAAATAGTATTTAAAGGAAGCATTAAAATTCAAGGAAGAAGATTAAAGAGAATAACTCACAACTTACAAATTCATTAAGCTTCAAAGTAGCAAAACCAAGATATGGAAGTTTAGATCCTCATTTGGAGACTAAACATGCTATAAAAATATAAAAGAAATAATATTCTAAACTGAGCTTAAGAGTATGGAAGAAGGAATGATTCTTTGTGAAGGAAAAGTGTGCTATTTATAGGTGTTTTTCAACACCTTGGGCCGGGTACCCGACCGGGTCAAGTGCCTACCCGACCGGGTCCGGTCAAAATCAGATATCCTCCACGTTCTGGTGATCTTCGACACGTTCTGGTGTTCCGGGTCAAGTCGGACCCGACTGGGTGGCATAGGGGACCCGACCGGGTCTGGCACTTTCCTTGCTTCTTCGGTTGTTAAATCTTACCCGACCGGGTGAGGATTTCTACCCGGTCGGGTTTTGCTCCCGGCAGTCAAATTTCTTGTTTTATTCTCTTCAAAGTCCTCTTTTCCAACACCATAAATCCTAAATCTACTTTACAACTTATAAATGAAGATTAAAATACAATTACAACTAAAATCACACAAATGTTTACAAACTAAATAAAACGATAAACTATACACACAAATCAAACATAAAAACATACACTTATGCACTACTAATTAGTGCATATCAAACACCCCCACACTTGAACCTTTACTCGTCTCGAGTAAACCAAATCCAGCCTAAGAAGTCCTTAAAATGACAAGAGTATCAACACCAACATCCACGTGTGTTTTTACAACAACACAAAAAATATATCCCAAAAAATATAAGAGTAAAGAGGGTCTTCAACTCCATATTTTTTATCAACCTCATTTTTTTATTGTTACCCTTAGGATCCTGCAGAAATAAAAGAAAATATTTTCTCTCATTCTCTCATTTTGCCTAGGTGCCCTTTCGGGCTTTCATCCCAGCTTCCCACATTTTTTTGTTTTAATCCTCACAACTCACTCTTATTTTTGCCTTATTTTTGCTTAAGTTGCCTTTTCATGTTTTCAACTTAACAAGCTTTTATTTTTATTTTTGTTTTTTTTTTGTTTTTTTTTAAAAAATAAATACAAGAATATAGAGTATGAATGTGAGTTTTCCATGAAATTCTCCCCCAAGCTAATCAAAGCACTGTCCCTAGTGCTTGTGTCCGAGATGTCCAATTAAGAGAATGAATCTCTTTGCCCTTTTTGGTGTCATTTCTTTCTTTTTGGGTGAGGAAATTTCGGCTTTTGTTGTTTGTGGAGTAAGGTGATTTGGATTTTTGGTGGGTTGTGGGTGTTTTGGTGGGTATGGAAATGTAGAGGGTGAGGAGGAGATGAAGATGGGTTTATTTGATGGATTTGGTGTAGAAATGGAGGAGATTCAAATGTATGAGGTTTGAAAATGGTGGAAATGGGAAGTTTTTTTTCGAAGGTAGGGGATGAAATGGGGCAGAAGGGGGCCTGCCCGACCCTTATCAGAGGTTTTTCCCGATCACCCGGCCGGGTGGATTAGTGGACCTGGTCGGGCCTAAATGTCGCTTATCCAGAGAGTGTTTTAACACAAACACCCGGCCGGGTATATAAGTTGACCCGGTCGGGCGTATTTATTTTTCCTCTCTTTCACATCTTCCTCGCCCGGGCGATTTGGCCGGGTGCTGTGTTCTATGAAGGGCCCGACCGGGTTGGGTTTCATACCCGACCGGGTTCTTCCCCAGGTCAATAGTTTTTTTTTGAAGTGTAAACTTAATCTAGAATAAAAAGTAAACGTACCTTACCTTTCTTGAAATGCCGCCATCCCTGTTTTTATTGTTTGATTTGTTTTGGCACTTTTACTGCTTTGTGATGAATCACCTTCAAGTGCCCTCTTACCTTTCCTTATATCATCTCTTCCAATTTGTGAGATCTGAGGGATATGCGTGGAAGGAGATGAAGATGTAGGGCTAAGCTCACACCACAAATCATCCCATGATGCATTAGTTGTACCGTGTACACCGTTGTTATTCTCTTCCTCTCTAGCACCCATATCATGATGAATATCAGTAGGTAGGGAAGGAATATAAACATCATCAGCATCCACGTGCAAATCTTCTTCTGAGATGATATTTCCTGGAATGTACTTTAGATTTCCTTGGGCTGAAGTAGCAAAGATTTGATCCATTTTGTATTCAAGCTCAGGCTCAATCCCTTCGTCTCGAAATTGTTCAAACTTAGCATTTTCCTATTAAAAAATTGAACAAATGTTGTATAATTGTATTGCTATTCAAGCTATGTACTAACGTATTTGACTAAATAGAACTAACCTGTATTTTAAGGCCCATCAATCCCATCCCAAGCCTGTTTCTTTTCCCTTCAATTGTTTCCACAAGCTCCATGATTTTTTTTATCGTATCAAGCTTGTTTTTCAATTTCATTTTATCCCATGGTAACTTAGTCTCCTTTAGAAAACCCAACTCAATTTTCTTCCACACCAATCTTTGAGATACAACTCCACCATTATTTCCTTTACTTTTTTCAACATGCTTAATACAAAGATCACAAAGGACGTGAAGTGAGTTTTTTGACCAAATAACTCGTCCTGCTTTGTTTTTAGTTGTATTGTCATGTTCACCGCTTTGAGAATCATCTATACTTTTCTTTCGTAGAGGAGCCATCTAAAACTCAAAATAACAAAGTACATATATGTAAAAGAAATTGTCATTCACAGATTTGCAATTCCAAAACATATGTTAATAACTCAGTTACTCAACAAGTAAAATTTTTATCCTTTTGATTTATTTATAGTGAGATATTGGAAATTATACGTGTGTATGGTGAGCAATGCTTATTTTTACTTGCAAGTTATCAAATTTGAAACTTTTTATCCAATTCAGGGTGTCAATTGAAACTTTTTTTAGTTCAAGGGGCGAATTGAGCATTACGGACAGGTAAATAGGCCTATTTGACCCTTTACCTCATTCTTAAATAATTGCAACATGTAAAATTTCACATTATCCACATCTTCACGAAATTTTATTTATTAATTGATACAAAATATTTTATTTTAAAAAAATATTATTCAATTCCTCTCATTACAAATTTTGAAAATCATTTTTTTTCCTAGTAGAAAATAAGGTATATTGATGGCCAAAGGTGTGTGCTACCAAATGTGTAAAGTTGACTGTTACAACTAGAGAACGGGAGTAAAAAGAATGTTAACAAATATATTAGCCTAGCCAAAGCTAGATTAGTAGCTATTACAACACAAAACATTCTTTTTGTACACAGGATTAGTACACAATTTGTGCATAACCCTCCTAATTATCTGTGTACACGAGCAATTCATTTGAAAAAAGACAGAATTTTATGTCAAAATTCACATGTACACGGGCAGTGTACAACTTGTGTACATATTTTGTGTAAATCAAGAATTACTCTTTTATTAGACAATGGTCCATACAAGCTTACAAATCATTCCGAAGGAATTGGGTCCCCTAACACATCCTTGTCTCAAGATTGCTAACAGCCAACTTGGAGTTAGGATATCTTTACTTAGGACCACCAATCCCAGATCACATCAAATCAGATCAGATCAGATTTGAATTGTTATAACTTATTAGATACACATAAACCAGACGTTTACCAGATCAGTTCAGACCACCAGAAAATTCTAGTCAAAGTAAAAACATCCTTATCATGCCGACCATCCCACTGTTGGCTCAAGCCGCAGTTGCCGGCGAATTTCGCTAGAAGCCGCCGCAAAAAAATCACCAAAATACTGTTTGAGTTTTTTTAGTTTTCATTGGATAAAACTTTCGACCGTCGCAGTGACATGTTAATTAGAGAATAATTATGTGAAAAATTCGAAAAATCACCTTGATTTGAAAAACTTTATTATTTTATCTACTAATAAAATAAACAGTCTCACATAAAATATCACATAATACTTTTCTTTTACCCCGGTGAGTCGGGGGGGCGGGAGGAGTTGGAAGAGTCTAGGATTAAATAGGGTCGAAACTCCTTTCATGGAGTTTCGAACGCAAGACTTCTGAAGTAAAGGGGATTGAGTCGACAATCCGCTGAGCTGAATTGTTTGCTCATATACGGAGTATCACATAATTCAAATAAAAACCCTTGACCTATGCTTACATCTTAATTCATATAGGATTCAAGATGACTTAATTTTTGGGAAAAATGTCAAATAGGTCCTCGAACTTTCATAAAAAGTCAATTAAGTCCTTCTATAGGAGATTTTGTCCGATCATCGCGATTTGGGGCGGTTCCCGGAGGAATTTTTTGATGAAATTTTTTGAGCATCGTATTCATCAAGTCTAGTTTACTCATACCAAATTTCAGCTAAAAAATTAATCGGGAGCGCATTCGAATTAATTCGAGAACGCAAAAATGCGCAGTTATCTTCAAGAATTAATTTGAATGTGTTCCCGATTGAATTTTTAGCTAAAATTTGGTATGAGTAAACTAGACTTGGTAAATAAGATGCTCAAAAAGTTTCATCAAAAAATTCCACTCGGAACTGTCCCAAATCGCGACGGCCGGACAGAACTTCCTATAGAAGGACTTAATTGACTATTTTATGAAAGTTCGAGGACCTATTTAACAATTTTCCCCTTAATATTTCGATGATGACAGAATCTAAACACCCCTGGTATAGTAACTTTATTCATCATCACAGTTTTAAATTTTTTTTAGGGAAAGTTTCCGAAATAGGACTAAAATAGTTTGAAAATTCTAAAATAGGACTTTCATGTTTTTTATTCCCAAAATAGGAGTAATTACTGTCAAGTTTGGAAAATACTGCCATGTTTGAAAGTCTGGCATTGCCAAAACATGGCAGTAACTAGTCCTATTTTGGGAATAAAAATATGACAGTCCTATTTTGGAATTTTCGAATCTTTTTAGTCCTATTTCGGGTAATATCTCTTTTTTTTTATTGTGCGAGCATTGCAAATTAAAAGCAAAATAAAAACACACTACTTTTACAAATCCAATTTTTTCCAACATGTTTTTTTACTATTTTAAAAAATCCTTGTATTTATTAAAAACAAAACATTCTTGTATTTTACAAATCCTTTCATCAAGACATCAACCCATATGGAAGAAAGGAATTTTTGCCACTTTTGGTCCTATGACTATGTAGCAAGTCTCACTCTTGGTCCTCTTCTTTTAAAAGTCTCATTTCTGGGGCATGACTATTACATTTTGGACACTCTTAGTCCTCCGGTCAATTAGCCGGCCAAAACCCGTCCGTCAAGCTTTCTATTTTTTCCTAATCATCTCACTTATATTTTTGGGGGGCACTTTTGTCTTTAAACAAGTAACAAGAATGAAACTCACGCTCCTAAAAATCGAATCCTTCGTTCTACGCATCTTTTGCTCCAGAAGAAGGAACGAACACATGAAGGTGCTTGGAAGGTTAACTCCAAAAAAATGGCGGACTCTCCTCCTCTAAGAGATGCGGCCATCTTTAACAGAAACAGCATGTACTTGAACAAAAAAAAATGCGATTTTAAATGTTTAGGAGAAAAGAAAATGAGTTGTGCTTGTGCAGCTGGGTCCGAATGAATTTGGTGTAAAATCAATTCTGGATCGCCATGAAGCATGCCATTCAATGTCTGATGCTCTTCAGGCGAGGTGACCAGTATTCTCCACTGTTGGAATGCCTAAACCTTGTCTGGTCATCATCTAGATGATGTCATGACAACCAAATTGATTACTTAATGGCATTTAACAACCATGAACTTGTTTCCCAGTCTTTCAGTATGCTTTGGTTTTCCCTTTATTTTATTAAATGAAATGAAGCATTTTTTACTAGCTTTCAGTTTCCTTTCACTTAATCTATGTCTTAGATCAGATATTAAAGAACTTTGTTCTTAATATATGCTTACACTTGTAGAATTATATTGTGGAGACGATGAAGAGAGCGACCGTAGCTATTCTCATTCTGAACTAGAGAAATTCTCAGACAGTGATAGAGATGAAATTAATCAGGATAATATTGAGTGTGAACAAAATGTGGACTTAGGTGTTGAATATGTTGTTTTGTTGAGGGATGAAGAGCAACTAGCTCTTTGGTGTACTTCACAAAGGTTGGTCTGACCCTAACTTAATTATCTGATGATGATTCTTTAGAAGATAGAGACAGTGATGCTCAAACTGCAAAAAAGCTGGTCATAATTGTAGGAAGTGTCCAGATAATCCCAAACTTATAGATAAGTTGGTAATAATCTGGTTTTATAGTTATTTTATATACTTCTAATTTAAAATTATATTTATTCAGTTATATATATGTAATTGTAATTTCTTGATACGTTTACCACCTTTGTAGCCTAGAAAGCAGCAACAAGAGTTCCTGAAGCCCAAAAAATGTTGCAGCAGAACATACAAAACACTGAGGAGCACATTAACAAAGAGGATGCCATTTTGAATGAAGAATGTATAGCAGGTTTTCAATATAATAACCCTGATATGCCTGCTGGCAGTTTGAATAACCTAGATCATGATTTGGAGTTGGATAGTATTAATGGATCATTTGATGTTAATCCTCTACTAGTTCATGATGATACCCTGTCTTGGGTAGATATGCCTACTCAAAATAAGGCAAGTGAAAGAAACAACGTTTGTGATGGGGGCCAACTCTCTAATATCAAAGTGACAAGCTATGGTGTGAAGTTTGTTTTGGAGCTCCTTACGGTAAACTGAATGTCAAAAGGACAAAATGAAGGACATATGGATTTGGCTTGCACAATGTTTTTTGTCAATTATTAATGTAATGTTAGCCAATCACTTTTGTATGGTTTTTGATCATGTCAATGCCTTAGTAATGTAATGTTATTAAAACTCATTGTTTATAAAATTTAAATATTGAATGTTAAGTATTTTGCGTAATGTTACTTCCAAGTTATTTGTTTATTCTAGGCAGAAGGGTGTGGACAAAATATACCGACTTTTGCTTAACTATTGTTGTATGGTGGAGCATATATAGTTTGTGAATATATTTAACTTCATAGAGACACTTTCATGTCTTCTGTGAAAGCAAATGTGTTGATTACATACTCAAGAATTTCTCCTTAAAGTCAAATCTTTTAACCATCTCTCTGAAAATAATACAAAATAGGTAGATGCATATGCAGTGCACACAACCACATCGAGCCTACTTTGTTTGGCTATAGTTCATTTTTTTTTACTCCAGGGGGGTCTGGGGGAGAGGGGCTGGGGGGAGCCTGGAGTAATCAGGGCTGAAACCCACTCCATTGAGTTTCACACCCTTGTCACCTTGTGTGCCTAGCGGGATTCGAACTCGAGACCTCCCACTAGGCACGGTAACCTCACAACCAGATGGGCTGGAATGCTTGGTTAGCTATAGTTCATTTCTATTCTTATATAAGTTAGTTTGAAATCTTTCAACCATCTATAGTTCCTTCGTATTCATTATATAACTTAGTTTATGAAGGCAACCTTATTTGGCTATACTGGTTTGTATATTTTCACTATGGGCTAAATTCAGACTGAGGTTTCTATAATTTAGTCAAATAATGTTAAAGTTACTAGAGGTATATGTGGAGTTGTCAAGGTTTAAATAGTGACAGCCTATAGTATAAATATATTGAAAATTTATGTTCTGAATGACATTTTTGAATGAGGAGTGCATAGCAGGTTTTCACTATGTTTCTAACTTGACTATCTCATATAATGTAATGCTCACTGATATTTAAAGCAGGTACTCCTACTTGTTTAGTTACTGATGTGTTATGTTTCCAAGTTGAACCTACTTGGTTTGTCCATGCAATTCTGTTTTTGAAGTATAAGTATCAGCGGGAGGGCCTAACTCAAATGACATGTCAAACGAACTCTGATTGGGGCGAAGTTCTGGCAGCAACTTCCTAACTAATGGGGCTAGATGCTGTCCAGTTTATTCTATAATCCGAGGTCTGTAAGTTTTGTTTTGAGCATGGTTTGTTTACCATAAGTTCATGGTTTTTACTTGCAGGATTATTTTTTCATGAGCTGAACTTTCTACACACAATATGCTTGATCTTTTTTAAAAAAAAAACTCCCAAATTTAAACCCATTTACTAACTATGACAAGTTTAAACTCATATACTCAATGTGTATATGTTTGCTTCTTAAGCTTTTGTCATCACTCTTTTTTTACTCCATCTACATTCAATTGTAGCAAACTAGTTACACCTCCCTATTACAATAAACGTTTCCCATCCAAAGTCTTGATTTTAGTTGCCATTTTCAGGGTTACAATGAAACAAGCTACAAAGCTAACAATAACTATTGTGTCATTCTTAGGAGTAAAACTCCAACACAGTTTGTCTTTTTGCCCTGTGTACTGCCCTTCCACAATTGGTTACACAGTCATCAAGCTTCCAGAATGCATGCCTCTGTGGATAGAGCCTCAATGTTCAGTTCAACATCATCATCTTTGACATCATTCCCTCGCTTTATAATTTCAAACAACTAGTTTGTCTTCTCATCAGGTAAATTCTATAAACTCAACACCCTAGATTGAAGTTTAAGTTTTTCCTTCATACTAATCTCCCTCTTGGTTGGATCTCTAGCACTCAACTTTTGCTCTTTCCCACTTGCAACTATCTCTAGAATCAGTGGCTCCATATGAGACTGTGGACGGATTTGAGGCCGTGGAAATGAATATGTTGATGCAGTGGATTAGATTTGCATATGTCTCACCTCTTTAAACCTGCGGTCCTGGAGACTGGAGTAGTGACAAAGAATAACAAGATCCACTCGCCAAGCTGTTATACTCACGCCTGGATTTCGAGGAAAAAGAGCTCGCCATTTTTTTGGGATAGAAGCTTGCTAGGGTTTTTCTTCTCCAGTGGTTCTTAAAGCTTCATTCATCTGCAGAAAATCAAAAGCAAAGAGATAAGTGATCATATAGATTTATTTAAGGGATAAGGGTCAGATAGGGCCTCGAACTCGAAAAAAAATGTCAAATAAGGTCATATTTCGGATGCTCTGTCTGGCCGACGCCATTTGGGGCGGTTCCCGATGGAATTTTTTGATGAAATTTTTTGAGCATCTTCCTCATTAAGTCTAGTTTACCCATACCAAATTTCAGCTAAAAATTCAACCGGGAAGGTAGTCAAATAATTTTCCGAAATGTACGGCGTTGTTTAACTTCAGAGTTATCTTCAAAAACTCATTTGACTACCTTCCCGGTTGAGTTTTTAGCTGAGATTTGGTATGGGTAAACTAGACTTAATGAGGAAGATGCTCAAAAAATTTTATCAAAAAATTCCATCGGGAACCGCCCCAAATGGCGTCGGCCAGACAGAGCATCCGAAATATGACCTTATTTGACATTTTTTTTCGAGTTCGAGGTCCTATCTGACCCTTATCCCTTTATTTAAAGACAATAAAGACCCTTAAAAAACAACTTTTTATTCATTAAAGGTCAGGAGGCATCGGGTAAGTGACCAGAGGACCAAAAGTGTCTGAGAGTATAAGAGCATCTCCAATGTTATAATGTGCACGGTGCACATGTGGCATGCGTCATAGCCACATAAATATTAGTAAATAAATAATCTTTCTCCTTATTTGAATGATTTTACACCATTTTGGTAAGTTTTTCCCTGCAATGTCAACATCTAGACGGTCTCCTTGACATTGTGGAGAAAAACTTACCAAAACTATATAAAATCATTCAAATAAGGAGAGAAAGAATTTATTTACTAATATTTATGTGGTTATTTCTCATGCCACGTGTGCACCGTGCACATTTTACCATTGGAGATGCTCTAATAGTCATGCACCTAAAATGAGACTTTTCAAAGAAGAGGACTAAGCATGAGACTTAAGTAACAACTCTAACAAGAGAGTTTCTGCTGTTTAGGTCTAAAGAGGCGTAAAACCTAGTTCAGCACATGGGGTGAGTAGTGAGTACGAAGGCGGCGGAGATGAGTAGCGCCGCCCCATTCCTTCCAATAGAAATCATTGCCAACGTTCTCAAGCGGCTTCCGGAGAAATCCCTAATCCAATTCCAAACTGTGTGCAAACTTTGGAAGAATCTCATCAAGAGCCCATCTTTCATCGCCAGCCACCTCGACCACTCCGACCGAGTAAATCTCTCTCTTGTTTCCAGGGGTAGGCACACCACCATCTCCGGTACCTCATTCTATATTTTCTCGACCGCGACATGCAACTCCGCCGATTTCAGAACAATCCTTTTATCGATTCGCTCAAGCACGCTAGCATCGTCGGCTCCTCCAACGGCTTGCTCTGTGTTCTGACTGGGCTGCCTGGTACTTTACTGTCTATTTACGTGTGTAATCCTGCGATTAGGGAGGTTATAGAGATGCCTAGAAGCCCAAGCATGGATTTACCTTATATTCCCTTTTTAGGCTTTGCATTCAGTCCAACTGTTAATGACTACAAAATTGTCATACCCTATGTGCCGCGGGGTAACCACAAATATGCATTTGAAGCTTATTCAGTAACCACAAATTCGTGGAAGAATATAGGAATGGGTAGCTTAAAGGTCACATCTCATCCCTTTGGTTATATTACTTTTAATGGGTCTATGTTTTGGTTTACATCATAGAGAGGTTTGGCATCTCATGAATGTACTGAGGTCATACTTTCGTTGTGTTTAGCAATGGACGAGTTTACATTGATTCCACTGCCTCCTTTGTCCAGGAAGGATTTTGAGAATATACAATGGTTGCGATATGTACAAATAATCATGAAAAGAATTATGTACAAATATGTTTGCCAGTGATGTTGATCAATGTACGTTCTTTTGTCAAACAAAATCGCATCTTCTTAATAATAAGTATGACCTTTTTTTCTTAATATAAGTATGACCATTTAGTAAAGATGTGTAACAATTTGAATAGGAATAGTAAAATTATACTACCTCCATTCTTTTATTATTGCAACACTTAAAATTTTACATTATTTACATCTTCTACTTTGAGAACATTTTATTTATTAATTTATAAAAAAATATTTTATTTTAAAAAATATTATTCAATTCGTCTCATAACAAATTTTTCAAAATCTTTTTTTTTCTAATAGAAAATAAGGTATATTAACGGTCAAAGGTTGTGCGCTGCCAAATGTGCAAAGTTGACTGTTACAACTAGAGAACGGGAGTAAATAGAATGTTAACAACTATATTGGTCTAGATAGAGCTAAATGAGTAGCTATTACAACAAGAAAAATCTTGTTATACATAGAATTAGTATACAACTTGTACATACCCCTAGTTATTTGTGTACATGAGCAACTCGTTTGAAAAGGGACAGAATTTTATGCCAAAATTCATGTGTACATAGGCAGTGTACATATGTTTTGTACACCAAGAATTACACTTTTCTTAAACAATGGTCAAATAGGTCCCTTTTCTTAGGGACAGCTTCTGCTTAAAAAGTGTTTAAATTAAAGGAAAACTGTCAAATAGGTCCTCGAACTTGCATAAAAAAGTCAATTAAGTCCTTCTATAGGAGATTCTGTCCGGTCGTCGCGATTTAGGACGGTTCCCGGTGGAATTTTATGATGAAATTTTTTGAGCATCCTATTCATCAAGTCTAGTTTACTCATACCAATTTTCAGCTAAAAATTTAATCGGGAGCGCTTTCAAATTAATTCGAGAACGCAAAAATGCGCAGTTATCTTCAAGAATTAATTTGAATGTGTTCCAGATTGAATTTTTAGCTGAAATTTGGTATGAGTAAACTAGACTTGGTGAATAAGATGCTTAAAAAATTTCATCAAAAAATTCCACTGGGAACTGCCCCAAATCGCGACGGCCGGACAGAACCTCCTATAGAAGGACTTAATTGACTTTTTTATGAAAGTTCGAGGACCTATTTGACAGTTTTCCCTTAAATTAAAGTTATATAGTCATGGACCCGGTTTGGACCACCCGGCTCGGGAACCGCCCCGGCCTGGTGCTTCGGGTCCGAAAGCGGTCCTTGACCCGGTTTGAAGGCCTAAGCGGGGGTGGGCTCGGGCTGCTTAAATGGGGACCCGGCCCGGTTCGGGCCTCAAACTGTTTTTTTTTCAGTTATTTTTGGGTTCCCTGGGTTGGGCTTGATATTTTGGGGGAGTTTGGGGGGTTTGGGGGTAGGGGTGAGGAGGGTAGTTAGGAAAGAAAAAAAAAATTAGAACCCAGCCCGTGGCCTGGCCCGGCCCGGCCCGAACCGAACCGAACCCGGTGGCAACCAAGGCCGGTCCCGGGCCATCCCCTAACCACAAAAGGTCCGATGGGGCCTAAGCCCGACCCGGCCCCATGCCTACTTGTATACTAATTCGTGTGTAACATGTTTTGTGTGTTGCAAGGGATGGTCCGACTAAACAATATTCTAACTTTTTCAAAATATAAATATTTTCAATCCCTTTAGAACTTGAATTTATACTTCATGTACTCCATCCATCATAAAAATAGTACTACCTCCGTCCCAAAAAGAGATGCAAATTTGACTTTTCTTAGTCAAACAGTCTCGTTTTGTTCACTTAATTTGGATGTCAATTTTTAATTATGTTATAATTTAGAGTTTACATTTTTGAAGAGATTTTAATGTAGTTTATGAATATGTAAATTTTAATTATTAAAAATTGAATTAATTATGCATACGGAGGGTTGACTTTTATTATTGGTTGACCAAAAATTGTTGACTTTGCAAAACGAATTGGGACAGAGGGAGTATATGAATCTTACTTATATATAAGTCTAATTCCAAGTCATGAGATAACTTAGTATTTTTATTTGGTAAGTTTGCTTTATTATTTGTTTTTAAAATTCTTAATATATAAAATTGTAAAATCTTATGAATTACATTTCCATTCAAAACCCTTTGATGATTCGATTTAAAACTCAACTTTAAGGGCCGGTTTGGTTTATGGTAATCTCACATGAAGGCGAGAATGTGATGTAAGAAATGATTCACGGGGTTGATAAACCGGGAAAGTTACACTTTCGGGGATGTAACATGGAGGGAAATGCTAAACTCATTCATGTCTTAGGTTATCTTACATTCCCAAGATGCCCTAATTTTCTTCCGAAAATATCCTAAATTAATTATCTATTTTTATTTAATTTCTTTTCGACTCTTCCATCTTTGATCGGGGGCTAAATTTTTTTCACCATATTTTCTTTTCTTCTTATGATAATTGACTTTTAGTACTACATTCATCCCACTTAAAGGTTCTTGTCCACTATTATTCAGTCAACGTAATGTTCGTAATCTTTTATTTTATATATTCAACTTTTATCAAGTACTATGTATGATTTTTTGCAACTTTATAATACTTTAATGTCGGTTCTGAATATGTAAATTTTATTTACTAAAAAGGGAAAAGGAACATGAATACCCCTACACTATATGTGGGGAACATATATACCCCTAATTTATTTTTTAGAACAAAAAGCTTATTAAACTAAAATAAGGGTACAAATCAACACCCATTGAAACACCCATTGACGTTTAGAACTTCCCCTTCAAGTTCACACTAACCCAAAAGCACACCCTTTGCAGAGGGAGGAAGATGAAACATGTGTAACTTAAATTACTCGATTCAAGCAACAAATCAGAGGTATGAACGTAGCCATAAGTTCATAAAGGGTTCCGATTTTTATATGTTCAAATCAAATACCCAGATTTATGGGTACAAATCAATTTTCTTTAAGGAAATATCTCTGTCCATGGCTATTCAAGTAATTGGACCTAAATCATACTACTGTGTCATCCCTGCTTCCCAAATTAAATGTGAATTTCTGGAATAGGTTTTTTCTTGGCTACTTTAAAATAAAATGAAGTGTTGGGCTTGATTATCATTAATTTTAGAGCTCTAGATGCACTAAAAAGAGAAAGCAGAAGTTGTAAATGCCGTCTAGGATTATTCAGTCTAATCTAGTAGGAGCTCTTCTATTTATATATAAGAAAAAAATAGGCTCATTTAATTACATTTCTACCCTTCATTAAGCTTAGGTGTCTGCCTTTGCTGTTTTTACGCACTTCACCTCTGATGGCCACGTGGCTTCCTAATGTTTAAGCGTGATGTTCAATGAAAAAAAGGCCGCTCCTTCATCCAAATAATAACGCTTCCTCTTTCCATCTTTATCTTCCACGCACTCATCTCGCACTGCGAATTTTAAGATGATTGCTTACATTTAGATTTTAGAATTCTCCTCTTCATCTTCGCACACCAATTTCTTTCCATGTTTATCTTCTCCTGGCACACCAATTTTCCGTCTTACTTCTCTCATCTCGAGCTATTTGAGCGTCTGTTTGATTATATTTAGAATTCTTCATCTCTAATCGATTGCGAAATTGCCACACCCACCTCTTTATCCAAACCAGGAAACCTCAAAATAATGCTGTCATTAGGGCTTCATACTCTGCCAGAAGTGGTACGACTAACGACTACTAATTCTTAGTTTCTCTTTTCATCGTTCTCCAATCGTTTCATTTAAAAAAGTGATGAACCAATTCTAATGCTTCAATTCTACTGCTTCATATGTTGGGAGTTCCCTACATTTCGTTTATTAGATCAAACAAGCAAGTTCATTTCTTCGCTGCATTCCGTTTGAACAAATTGTTCCCTTCATTTTTTGAGAAAAAGATTTTAGCTCGGTTTTGTTTTATTTCTGCAATTTATTGATTATACCCGGTGATAACCTCTCTAATTTGAAAAAAATGTCTACAGATGATCATCAACATATAAGGTGTTCGATGAAATGTTTATATGAGAAGTATGTTTGTTTCTCAAGGCACTGTGATCACCTCTGTTTAAGCAATGAATATGACCATCAAAAGGTAACATATTTAATTTGATCAATTTGTTTCTTAAGGCACTATGTTGTTTAATATGGTGTGTAAGTACGTAAATTATGTGCAGAATTTGGCTTTCCCAGCTTAGATTATACGAAGTATGTTAATCTAAATTTGAAATGAAACTAAAAACAAAAAAGTAGGTAATTTGAGCTGATCCTTAACTAGGCTTATAGACTTAATCTAATTTCGGCTTACCTATTTATGTTCCAGCCTCACTAGAGATTATTCTTTATTAATTGAAGAAATAATTTCTGATATATAGCTTACCGATTTTTTTTTAGCTAATTTAACATATAAATATTTTTTAATTTATAAACAAAGTATATAATAAATAAAGTATAAATTTTCCAATTTTAGCTACTTTTTTATATACATTTTTCATTATTCGACAAATTCATCCAATTCGCGACTTTCAACTAGAGCTTCATCAATTTCACTAATTTATGTGTTACCGTAAAATTCTATGTAGGCTAACAATATGTAGTGCGTTTTGAATTGGTATAAGATAAGTCGGCTAACAATTGAGTGACATAAATTTCTCTCTCATATGTAGTGATTTTAGATATAAGAAGATAAACTTACTAATAATTGAATGAAAGAATTTTCTCTCTCATATGTAGTGTTTTTAGGTATTAAAAGATTAGAAGATAAGCTTGCAACAAGAGAATTGGGGGGGTTCTCTCCATATGTAATGCTTTTAGGTTAGGTATTATATTGTATTATATACTTCCTCCGTCCCATTGAACTTTGCCAACTTTCCTTTTTATATTGTCCCAAAAAACTTTGTCACTTTCCTATTAAAGCAACTAATTTGTGGCTTTGCACATTTTTCTCTCCTCTGCACAAATTTCAACCACACAATTTTTACTATTTTTATTTTTCACCTACTTTGCATTTGGCAAAGTCCAACGG